GGTGTCTCAGCAGTAAAGAATCCACCTGCTCTCGTGCTGGAGAAGACTCTTGAGTGTCCCTTGGACTGCAAGGAGATCAAACCAGTCAATCCTAAATGAAATCAACCCTGAATATTCATTGGAAGGACTGGTGCTGAAGCTGAAGCTCCAATACTTTGGCCACCTGATGCAAAGAGCTGAATCTTTGGAAAAGACTGTGATGCTGGGAAAGATTAAAGGCAGGAGAAGAAGATGATACAGGATGAGATGACTGGATGGCATCAACTGACTCAATGGACATGAGTTTGAGCAAACTCCGGGAGATGGTAAAGGACAGGGAAGCCTGGAGTGCTGTAGTCCATGGGGTTGCAAAGAGTTGGACATGACTGAGCGACCGCACAACAATAATGGAGGGGATGCAGGTTTGATCTCTGGGTCAGGAAGATCCCCCAGAGAAGGAAATGGCAACGCACTTCAGTATTCTTGCCTAGGAAATCCCATGGGGTAACAAAAAGTCAGACATGACAGAGCAAATACACAGGATCGATGAGATTCTTGAGAGAAACAAGGATCACTTCTTTGTCTACACTTTGTCCCTCAAAAATCTTTCCCATTCTTAAGTGAAACATTTTCATTTAGGAAGTGGAGGAGATGACACAGCAAGAGGGCACAGAAAGAATAATCAGTGAAGGAGAAGGAAGTCCTGGGGTGTGCAGGGAAATAGAAGGAAAGGAGAGCTTTAAAAGGCAGGGGCATGGAGGTTAACTCCTCCAACACTGCAGAGGAATTGGATTGCTTGAACATTAAGCAGAAACTCTCCCTATTGTGTCTGCCTAAGACTCTCAATAATGCATCTATCACATGATCATGTAATTACTTATTATTCTCCATGGTGGCTCAGATGGTAAAGAATCTGCCTACAATGTGGGATACCTGGATTCACTCCCTGGGTCAGGAAGATCCCCTGGGGAAAGGAATGGCTACACATCCCAGTATTCTTGCCTGGAGAATTCCAAGGACAGAGGAGCGTGGCAGGCTACAGTCCTTGGGGTCACAAAGAGTCAGACATGACTGAGTGACTAACACTAACGCTGACTATGGGTTGCCTTCTTCTGATATTATTCTCCACCATTGGGTAGGGGTAATTTGGTATTGTTAATTATTTTATTACCAACATTTACCACTGGTAAATGACTGAATGAATAGACCCATGAATGAAAATGTCAGTTATGGCTCAGTATAGTTTCAATTAAGAGGTGAGTGTGGAAGCCAAATTCCAAAGCCTAAAGTAAATGGGGGAAAAGACAGGGTGATTGATCAAGCTATGCAAGCTATTTTTACTTTCTTAAGAAAGAAAAAAAAAATCCCAAAACATGCAAATTCTTAGAACTGTTGACTTTAATTGCAATGATTAAAAAAAAAAACAGAAAATGAACTGCCCAGTGTCAGGGAATGTTCTTTCTGGTAGGTAGGAGAAAGTGCTGCTAAGAATAACATTTCTGTTTATTTTGAGATTGTCTGTTGACCTAGTGGGACTTCAGAGAGTTTTAGATTACAAGTAAAGCCTCTGACAGTTATCTATGAAAGAGAGATTAAAACAATAGTACACACAATCAACTGTGGTCCAAGGGCTTGTAAACCATTGCCAGTTGGAATGCTCAGAGAATTGGGAACAGGGATCTTTAGGCAGCCAGGTGAGACTAATCTGGGGAAGCTTTAGGAAGGAGATAAATTTAAGCTGTTTTGAAAGAGGACTATTCTAGTCAGTTGGCAAAGTGTCTTATGGCACGTGATTAGGTATTTTAATTTGATTACCTGAGGTAATTTGGAGCCACCCCAATATTCTGAAAAGACTTGGTATAAAATGTTTGGAAGATGACTCGTTTCAGTAGTTTTTAACTCTGACTGCATATTAGAATTACCTGGAGAGCTTTGAAAAAATCCTGGTGCCCAGGCTGTAGGGCAGAATGATTTAACCTAGAGGTGGGACCCAGCCATCAGTATTGCTCTTTTTGTATTTTTTTTGATTGTTTAAGTTCTCTGGATGATTCCAGTTAAAAGCCCACAGTAAGAGGTACTTCTCTAAGTGTCGGGAAAATTGCAAGTAAGCAAGCAAGGACTAGAATTAGAAAGGTTAGCAAGGAGGCTGGAAATTGGAATCTGACCTGGCTTTGTGAACAGAGATAAAAGGGGTGAAGCTAAATAAAGTATTCTGGAGGAAAGCTTGGTTGGACTTTGTGGTGCATGTCAGTTGCAATTTTTCACAAAGCTATATTCCCAGAGCATCACCATTCTTAATATGATGGATTAGTTGAAAAACAGGCAGGCAGGACTTGCTTTGCTAAGATTTGGGGCTATTAGCAAAATTCTCAATTTCTGAAGTACCAAAGCCACTCAGAAGAGAAAAAAAAAATCATATTGAAAGTATAGAAGCTTTTGTTTATATTTGAAGCAGGAAATAAAGCCAATGATAGATGGTCTAGAATTAGGAATCAAAATTCAGACTATAAATTGATTTACAGTTAGGATACTGGGCTGGCAAAATTATGATCCTTTTAGAGTAACCTTGAAAAAAATGAAAAGTCAAACCATTAAGAGAATTCCTCATCATTTTCAATCATAATATTCCTTTTCCTGGAATAAAGAATTTGTAACAGGTATGGGAAATGGATGGGTTTGTCTTAGAAATGATGACCTCTTAGAAAGGTGAGCTGGAAAGCAATAATGAGAATTCCAATGTTCATATTAAATCACTTTAAATTTATTCTGGCATGTCCCATCTTCAAAGTTTAGGGGAAGGGCAGACTGTCATATGTGGAACTACTATTTATAAAAACTAGTGTTTCATAGTAATATATCATATTTGATAAAATAGGTGCTGGAAAAGAACTTTCCCTGCCAAGAGCATCCTGAAGGGAAGCAATCGAAGGCAAGTGTAGAGCAAAACCATTTTCCTGGCTCCAAGGATGTGGCTGAGACTTAGAAGCATGATAAGCCTCCATGTATTAGCTGTTATTACATAGTGAAAAGACTTGGAACTATAAATGAAAGATAATTGTTCCTGTATTCCTGCTCCCAGGAACTGGGTTCCTGGTACATGCAGGGATAAGAGAGTTGGCCAGGACAGGTCCCAGCTTTAAGTCATGGAGGACTACATTTGTGACTTGAGGGGTAGAGACTCCTGTCTCGTTACAGAGAACTTGGTCAGTGAACCTCATCCTATTTTCAGGGAGTGGGATGTGGAGTAGGAAGTTGGTACATTGTTTCCAGAAGACCCTGGAGAAAATATGAGTGTACTATAAGGGATGAGGAACACAGCAGAAATGACATTCTTCACCTCTTCCTCAGAGGAACTCACGGCACTCCCTGGGTAGGATGAGGTTGAAGGTCAAAAGGAAGAAGAGAATCAGAGTCGACCAGTCTGCGTAGGGTGCAGCAAGGATGAGCCATTAGGTATCTTCCTATGGGACCCTTATGCATCTAGTAAGCAAGGAGGCAGAAAAGGAAGACCTGAAAGTTCTGTTGATTCTCTGAGAAAAGAAATCCCATTCTTTCCTTCTGCATCCTTGTATCACTCTTGGGCCCAGGGCACCTTCTATTTCATTTCATCTTGCTGATCACAAGGGAGGGAGGCTCCACATGTGCCCAAAGTTACTCTGTATCCCTTAGTACATGCTGCTGCTGCTGCTAAGTCACTTCAGTTGTGTCCGACTCTGTGCGACCCAATAGACGGCAGCCCACCAGGCTCCCCCGTCCCTGGGATTCTCCAGGCAAGAACACTGGAGTGGGTTGCCATTTCCTTCTCCAATGCGTGAAAGTGAAAAGTGAAAGTGAAGTTGCTCTGTCATGTCTAACTTTTCGCGACCCCATGGACTGCAGCCTACCAGGCTCCTCCGTCCATGGAATTTTTCAGGCAAGAGTACTGGAGTGGGGTGCCAGTGCCTTCTTTGCTTAGTACATGCAGGTGTCCTCAAATGCCTCCAATTTCCCTTCCTCAGGGTTGCTGTTCCAGGAAAGAAGGTTCTAAATTAATAGTCTACAAACTCCCCCTGCATGTTGGTTTGCAAAATTAATGATCCTTATGAAAAAGTAAATTAATCTTTGATGCTTGGTTGAGGCTAAGAGAAAAATCACTGTTTGGGGGACTGGGCCTTCTTAATACCCCTCATCCAAAGCATTCACTCCCTTCTGCACTAACCACACTCACAGAGATGGGAGGGAGGGGTGGACAACACAGCTTGAAAGTCCATCTTTGAATCCACAGGGCCGTATTGCAAACATTTATCAAATACCTGTTTGTGCAGTTCAGTGCAACTGTGCCCCAGAGGAGCCAGGAAAGGCTGCAGGGAGGAAGCCCCCTGATGTGATGTTCCTCCCTTGTCAAGTTTTACCTGCACTTTCTACGAAAAGACTGCAGTAAACATTTTGTAAAATGTAAATACTATGATCATGGTTTCTTCAGTTTTAGGAGGAACACAACAGCTTTGCCGAAAGCCCCCATCACAGGTCCCAGGGTTCACAGACCTCTCGGGATTAGATAGGTATTAAAGGAATTGGAAGTTCTGATTGCCTCGCTGTGTTTTTCTAGCCCGAGCCTCTGCTGCACTGCATTGCTCAGTTCCTTTCAACTGAAAAATTAAATCTGCACTCCTGTCAAAATGTGTCATCTGCACACCCGGACACTTATCCCAGTTCATCATGCTCTCTGCAGAGTCGAGATGGAAAGAATGCTGCAGCTCTCACTTGCGAGGCCTGGGAAGACCAGGTGTTTGGGAGGATCCGAACAACTGGTGTCCTGGGAGTGTCCTGCGGAATCGACCGGGAATTCCACGGGAACCTTGGTGCTAGGAAAAGAGCTCGTGTCCGTCCGTTTCCTCGGGTGTGAATCACCCTGGTTGGGCTGGGAGAACATGAAGGACCTCGTCAGCGCTGTAAAACCTGCCAAATACACATCAGAACCAGGGGCGTGTGTGTGAACGGGGAGGAGGTACACTATCCGGAGGCTTTTCTTCGAGGTCTATTTATCCTTTGTGCCCCACGGCTGGTGGGTTCTTTGAATGTAAACTCTTGGAAAGGGGCGGGGGAGCCTCTTTCACGCCCGGGGGAGTATCTTGCTCATCTGTAAATGCTGAATGACAGCGGCAATTTCGGCCTGGAAGGGCCGGTGCGGATTGGGTCTGGTGACCGTCTCGCAGGGCTCGGGGCCAGGACCGGGGACACCATGGAGAGGCCGCGGAGCGCGGGCGGCGCATCGGGCCCGGGCGCAGTCTGCGGGCGCTCGGAGGGGGCTCCACCTGGTCTCTGAGCCTCGGCCAGAGAGGCGGGGCCCGGCTTCCCGGAGGCGGCGGCGCCTCCTCGAGCCCGAGCGCGCGCTCCCCGGCGTCCGGCGCACGCGCGAGGCCGGGAGGGAGCGCGCCCCGGCGGCGGCGGCGGGAGGGGGAGGAGGAGGAGGGCGGCCGAGGGGAGCCTAGCCGCGCGCGCGGAGGTGGTGGCTTCGGCGGCAGCGACCTGAGCCGGGCGGAGTGGAGAGCGGGGGCGGGGGCGGGGGCGGAGGGAGAGGGAGGCGGAGGGGAGTGAGAGCCGCATTTCCAGTTCCCAACTACGAGCCCCGAGTTTGTAGATGGGGCTGCTCGGCGGCGCCTGCGGCTGAGAAAGAGCAGCGGCGGCGGGCGGAGAGGAGCGACGGCGGCGCGGAGGAAGCCGAGGTGCGAGTCGGTGAGTTGCCCGGGCCCCCACGTCGCTCGGGTAACGGTCTCGCCGCGCGCCGGGCCCGTCGGGGTGGGGGCGCCCTGTTGCTCGTGGCTTCGCGCCACGCGGGGACCCCACCCCGCCCCCTCAGCACCTGGGCTTGGCCGGGCGACGGGGGCTGCTCCGCTCGGCCGGCGCGGGAGGGGCGCGCTCTGCCGGGCCCCCGGCTCCTGGGCTGCGGGCGAGCGGGCGGGCCGAGCGCGGCAACGTGTCTGGCCCATGCCGCCGCGCCCGGCTCTCCCCACGCGCTCGGCGGCGCGGCCCGGGCGGAGGCAGGGCTGGGGCTGGGGGCGCGGGACTCCCTCCGGCCGCCGGCACCCTCTGCGGCGGGAGTGACGTTAAGACTTGAATGGAGAGCCGTGCCGGGGGCGGTTGTGGCCGTGACAGAAACCTTCGGGGTCGGTCCCCAGCGGGGGCGGCTCCGCCGGCCTCTCGCTGCCTCATGAGCTCCGACTTCTTGGGGGAGGAGGCGTTGGGCAAGTACTGCTGCCACGAGACTCCAGTTGTTTGGCCAGAGTGGTTGTCGGCCGCGCACACGCTGCTCCGGAGGCGTTTGCAGCTGAGGCGGTGCTCTCCGATTCTGAGTACGTTGGTCTGGAACCAAAAAGGTGCTGGGTTTTTTTTGGGGGGGGTGGGGGTGGAGCGGTGCTTTGGGGGGCGAGGTGGAGGGCGCCAGGAGGGAGCCGATGGTCGGTGTGATGACAGGATGTAGATTCGTTGATGGGTGTTTTTTGCAGAAGGACTTTTTAACACTTTCTTGGGAGTTTCGTCTCAATTTCCCCAGCTCCTGAGGTTACAGCTGGAGATTCCATCCATTCAACTTCCATCAGCTGGGGCACGTAAAGAGGGGTCGGGGGTAGGAGAGAAAGGTAATTGAAGGCTGATGGGGAAGCTCAGAAAATTCACCGCATTACTTAAAACAGCCGGTTAAGGTCAAGCTAGCCACGTTTTACTCCTCTTCCATGCCTTTGGGGATGGTTGAAATTTTACTTGATGCTTTCTCAATTGGTCGTCTTGTTATATGGCTCGGAACATTTGAGGTGCGTTAAAATGCTCTTCAGTTGGCGTATGATTTAGCAGCCATTTCTTCCCGTGAGATCTTTCGAATGGTCGTTCGGAAACTTCTGTTTGTCCACTGTTTTAGGTGAGGTAACACGCTGGTACCACTGCGGAGATAGTTGCGGTACGTTGGTGAAACGACGGACCTCACGGTAGCATTGTATCAGGCCTGATTATAGTCAAGTCTTCTGAGGCCTGATTACAGTAAACAAAGAACTTTTTTGGGTTGTGTCATTTTGAGGTCATCTGTATCTGAAATCTATCATATATGTAAATTCATGTTTTAAGTATACGTTGGCACAGTGTGTTACTTTTTAAGGTCTATGCTTCTTTTAGTTTAGACTAGGGTTACATAATATACAAGTGGTAACATTTATAATGGCTCTGTTTTTGTCCTGTAGAGATTGCACACTAAATATGAAAAAAAATTCTGGGATGTGTTTGTCCTTTTCTAATTGATGCTGCTCAGTTCCTTTTCCGCTTGGATTTTCAAAATGAATTTTTTCTTTCTTTACTGGAAAGAAACTGGAACGCTGGAAAATTTGGGGGCTTACGCAAGTCTGGTAGCTCTATATAAGACAGAATCATTTTCTGTTGTTCTCTAGGCCAACTGTTGGATTTTTTCTTGACGAATCATATTTTTCTTAAACATTCGTGGGAGCAGTTTGCATTTTTCCTGAGTCCCATTTCAGGCTGAAATTGTTCCAGAAGACTACACAGCCTGCTACTTTAGCTTCTTCCCCCACTCTCTTTTTAAGCTTGGGATAACCAAGAAAATCATAATTGAGAGGCTCCATGTATGTTATCTGTGCTCTGTTTTGAAAATTGAAATTGTTTGAGTATTTATTACCCCTTTATAGAATTTACCATTTAATAATGGATGATTAGCAGAAGACAACCGAGGTATTAATTAAATACCCTTCACATTTTTGACATCCAAACTTTGTTAAAAGTGAGTAATAGCAGCATATTTTTGCTGAGAGTTGCAAATAATACAGGGTTAGGGGCAGTCAAAGGCAACCTAACTATAAAAACACTAAGAAAATAAATATTAAAAGGGGCAAGAGAACCCATTTGTACTTTTTGTGTCACTTCCTGTATTATAAATTACCGAGTTAGGTGGCTTTATAAAAAGAGTATCTTGCAAGTTAGACTTAGGTTTTTAGCACTGGTGATAATTTTCTTTACAAGATGTTTCATTTGGTAAGTGACCAAATTTGTATCAGAACTTCACTTCAGTTAGATGTGGTTGACTTGCAGTGGATGTCCTGATATTTATTTCAGGAGGGATGAACACCTGCCCATTAGATAAAATACTTGGCTATTTGAGGATATCATTAAATTATTCCTAAAAAAAGAATGTACTGAGAAAAAAGAACCTATAGGTTCTTTCCTTCCAAAAATAGTGTTCACATTTATGAGTAACATAGAGCAGAAAAGCATATAAGGTGTCTCTACGGATTTGGTGCTAGCATTGAATTAAAGATTTGATTTCTTCTCTGTAGGTCCCAGATTGTGCATAGATTGTTTTTGGTCAGTCTTAGAGAAGCTGCAATGATTTTCTCACTCTTCCAGTTATTTGTATGTGACCACTGGGGGGAGACTTCACAATTTAGGTTGATGGTATCCCTCTCTCTACACTGCTGCTAATCATTCCTGGGCACTTTGCCCAACTACTGGAAATGTGTTGAGGAAGATGCACTTAGAATCGAGTTCTGATCAAGGTGTCTAAATGACTTTTATTTCTTTAACTCACACCACACTCAAAAAGTACCTCTCTTTATAGATTGTGTTTTTAACAGTTTACTTTTGGGTCTACTGTTAGGTGGGCTAGCTAAACATCTAACACAGTGAAAGAAGAGATTCATGAATATATTAGAGCTTTCAAAGATCTGACTTTACTGATATTAATCTTAGAAGCAGTGCAGGCTTGCTTTGTGTACATAGGAATTAGTTGTCTGGAAAAATCTGGAAAGAATACTGCTCTTCTCTGAGGTGTACTATGTCCAAACCTCTTTAAACTGGTTGGTTTCTTGTTTTAAAAAGCTTTCAGAGGGAGAGATATTGAAGCATCCTTTGTGCCTAATTTCACCACATAGGGGAATTTTCTCCTTTATCACAGTAATAGAGATAAGACCAAAACTCACAACTTTGTTGACCATTAAGCTGAAGCTATTCTCAAGAGGTACAATAAAGTCAGGAAAAACTCTAGTTTTCAGTCTTCTCTTCTGACAGTATTTAACTTTGTTAGTGTCCAATTCACTAATAACTCAACAAAGGACATTATTTTTATAGTAGCTTAAAAAGAACTTAAATTCTTCTTAAAATCTTGATTGTAGTAGATTTATTCACTGTATAATGAGTAGGATAGAATTTGAAGTAGTTTCTATCACCTTTCCTAGTTTCTTCATTTTTATGATGGCTTCACATTTTTTTTTCTTAAAAAATTTCATAACTACAATAAGAGATATTTTCTGCTGAGGAAATGCAGATTCCTGGCCAACCTCAACAATGTGTTTAATTCTTGGGGAGTAATTTCTAATGGTCTGCAAAGCAAAATGAGAAGGACAATGTAGTGAGTTTTTCATAAAGCTCAGGTTATTTTCAAATGGTTTCCTCTGCCTACTAGTTCCTATAATGGTCTGATTCCTACTTACTTTACTGACTTGCAGCTTTTCCTCTTAGATGAGTTGCTCCTTCACCACTCTCTCTAGCATTCTCCCTTGTTCACTGTTTTCCATCTACCCAAGGCGTATGTGCTCTGTCACGTCTGACTCGTGATCGCACAGACTGTAGTCCACTAGGCTCCTCTGTCTATGGAATTTTCCAGCAAGAATACTAGAGGAGGTTGTCATTTCTTTTCTCCAGAGGATCTTCCTGACTGAGGGATCGAACCTGAGTCTCTCTGGTCTCCTGCCCTGGCAGATGGATTCTTTACCACTGCTCTGCCTGGGAAGCCCATATTCCATCTACACGGCCCTTCTTTTCTCTCCTCAGAAATGCCATGGCTTGTTCCTGACTTAGGTCTGTTCTCTTTGCCTGGAATTGCCTTAAAATGTGACACAGTGGCTCCTTTTCATCATTTCAGGTTTCAGTTCAAGTAACTTCTGTTTCAGTTCAGTTACTTTCTCAGATAAGCGTTACTGTGGAACCACCCTGTCAGAATGGCACCATCCTCATTTCCCCTTCCATTATTTTTTTTTTTTTTTGCAGGTTGTTTCTCATATCTGACTTTGTATTTTTATATTATTTTGTTATCTGTATACTCTCATTAGAATGCAAGCCCCATTAGAACAGTGATTTTTATCTCTTTTGTCTTAACAGTATATTCCAAGAACTTAGACTAGTTCCTGGCACACAGCTGTCATAAATATCCCTTTTAGAAAATCTGAGGTTCTAGTCCTCCTGAGGCTTTGGTGTTAAAGTGCTCCTTTATGAAATGATATGAGTCAATGATAGTTGTAGTAAGATAGTTGCAGTAAGTAGGCCACTTTGGGCTGTAAGTTATAGAAATCCATTCTGACTGGTATTGGTATGAACAAAAAGTGAGATTTACTGTAAAGATAGATGCTGGAGTGTCTAAAGGAATCCCAGGGTTGGGACTCTGGAACTCCAGTGCCAGCGGAACACACTTCATCTCTTCTGTTGACTCTTCCCTGAGCATTTGTTTCATGTTTTCTAATGCTGTGGAGGACCACTTCCTGGTCCTCTTAATAGAAGATATGGCCTGCAGCAGCTCCTAAAATTGCCCTGTTTCTGGGCCCAGCAGGAAATAGATTTCTCTAGCACCCCAATAGATGGGGAAACAGTGAGAAACTTAATTTTTTGAAGGGGCTTCAAAATCACTGCAGATGGTGACTGCAGCCATGAAATTAAAAGATGCTTGCTCCTTGGAAGAAAAGCTATGCCCAACCTAGACAGCATATGAAAAAGCAGAGACATTACTTTGCCAACAGAGGTCTATCTAATCAAAGCTGTGTTTTCCAGTAGTCATGTATGAATGTGAGATTTGCACTATAAAGAAAGCTGAGCACCAAAGAATTGATGGTTTTGAACTGTGGTGTTGGAGAAGACTCTTGAGAGTCCCTTGGACAGCAAGGAGATCCAACCAGTCCATCCTAAAGGAGATCAGTCCTGAATATTCATTGGAAGGACTGATGCTGAAGCTGAAACTCCAATACTTTGGCCACCTGATATGAAGAACTGACTCATTTGAAAAGACCCTGATGCTGGGAAAGATTGAAAGCAGGAGGAGAAGGAGACAACAGAGGATGAGATGGTTGGATGGCATCAGCGACTCGATGGACATGAGTTTGAGCAAGCTCTGGGAACTGGTGATGGACAGGGAAGTCTACTGTGTTGCAGTCCTTGGGGTTGCTGTGTTGGACATAACTAAGCGACTGAACTGAGCACTGATCCCTTCCCTGTTCATCAAACTATACCAGTTGTTAGAATTTGGTTGTACTTGCTGTAATCATTTGAAATAGGATTGGGCAGTCAACCCAACTAGGTGTCCCAATGACAA